CTCTGAGTCGTCTGAGTCATCTGAGTCTTCTTGGTCATCTGAGTCATCCAGACTTGGTGGCTTCCGTCCCTCTAGCCAGTGCCTTGCCGCCTAGTTGGGAAGGACGTGGGGAAGTGTGGGTAAGTGTGTGTGTGTATGAGGAAGAGCAAATGTACCTTGTAACCAGTAAAGTTTTGCTGTTACTTTAAATTCACGGGGTCTCCGTGTATTCCAAAGAACCTCTTGGGCCTCAGTGTTCGGTTGGAAGTGATTTGTGTTATTTCCCGGCTGTTGACCAGGGCGGTGTGTCTCTCTGCTCCAGCCACACCTATCTGGAAACCCAGGTAGAAAGCAAGGGGGGCTGACAAGATCCGTGGGCCTCAGCAGGCTGTGAGTGTGTGAGTGAGTGACCATGAGCCGAACCTGGGAGCAGCATGTGTAACACCTCCCCTCCCTTCCCTTCCCTTCCCTTCCCTTCCCTTCCCTAAACTTGTATCCTGCCCAACTCCCGACAGCTCTGGGCGGCTTTATTAACCCCAAAGGCCATTTCCATCGTTAATTGAAAGACTCCTACCTCCAGAATCTTATAATTATTTTGCAGTGTGAGTTCTTGTTCCTGTAAGGCAGTGTTGTCCAAACTTGGCCACTTTAAGATGAGTGGACTTCAACTCCCAGAATTCCCCAGCCAACCCTAACCCTAACCCTAACCCATGCTGGCTGGGGAATTCTGGGAGTTGAAGTCCACTCATCTCAAAGCGGCCAAGTTTGGACAATGCTGTAAGGGGACTAGATATTTTTTAATGTATGAAGCAATTAAGTGACCCTCTAGAGACACAGCAGTTGCGATCCAAAACAGAGTTTCACTGGACTTCTGCCCTTCAGGAAATTTTTGAAAAGCCTTCTACGGAAGCAGCCCCAGGAACTCCTGCTGGTGATCGGAACCGGGGTGAGCGCTGCTGCTGCGCCCGGAATCCCAGCCCTGTGTTCGTGGCGGAGCTGCATTGAAGCGGTCATTGAAGCAGCGGACCAGCTGGAAGTGTTGCACCCCAGAGACGTGGCTGATTTCCGCCAAAAAGTGTCCAAAGACCGAGATTTGCTTGTGGTTGCGCATGATTTAATCCGAAAGATGTCACCGGTGAGCGGTTCTCATGCAAGGATCTGAAATGGATGTTGTTCCTGCTTTGAAAGTGAAGATGGAGGTGGACTTGTACCCGTGGTCAGGCTTTCCCATTTATTTATTTATTTATTTAATTTATTGGATGTCTCCCCTGCCCATCTCCCCCACAGTAGGGGACTCTGGGCGACTTACAAAAAACATTAAAATTATAAATATAT